CTCTCTCTCTCCCTTCCCCAACAACACAGGTGCATATGCACTGGTGAGGTTAAACTAACAACTCCACCTTGACTCTCAGTTCCCTACCCTTCACCTTAGAAATAAAGGTGGTGGGAATCAGAGACCTGTAGTTCCTAAATGATAAGAGTGCTTTAGAATTGCCTGGAGGGTGTGTCCCAACTCCAAGGCTGGGCTCCACCCCACCATCCCCCAGTTAAGGGTGCTGTGGACTGCGGATCTGGAGGGGTACAGAGAATTTCTGCTGCTTTTCGGATAAGGTACGTTGTGCCGACAGATCCACACTTCGAGAACCACCATTCTAGGCGGAATCTAGGACAAATCCAGTAAAAGGAACCAGCCGGCTCTTCCAGGTGGCCTTCTGGGCTTGCTCAACTTTCCCCTAGATTCCTAATCTCTAAAGGAAGGAGGGCATGTTTTGGTCTTCGTTTTTTGTCTCTAGCGCCAGATGCTGGAGACTGGGAGCCCGAGTATGAACAAACCCTGATAGTATGTGGAGGGGAGGGCATCGTGCGTGTAGCGACCTGGACTTTACAGGAAGGCCTTGCAGCTGGCCCATCTCCTGAGGTCAGTAGCAGCACGCGCTGCCCAGGAGTTCAAGGCAACACGCCTGGGCTCTGCTGGGAGTGCAGACCACCAGAGGGGAGCGTCCCCCAGGGCAGACCTGGGAGGGTCTTGCTCTGGCTGGTGGGATGGAGGAGGAGGTGATCCTCGAGGTGGGCGTTGGGGGACAGGTAGCCGCGGAATGGGTCTGCCCACACGCGAGGGACCAGTCTCCTGGGGAAAAAGGGTGGCTTGGCTGGGGGGGGGAGGGGCGAGGCTGCGGGTGTGGGCCGAGCGCGGTGCCGGTTAGTCCCCTCTTGACCCCGCACCTGGAGGCTGCTGCCGGGAGCTGGAACTGCGGCGTCTGTCCAGAGCCGCCCTCACCGGTAAGGTGGGTGCTGGCCAGGCAGCGGCCCCTGGAGTTCACTCATCCCACCGCAGTCGCAGGACTCAATAGCTCTTCCCGCACCGGGCTCTCTCATAGCCCTGGGCTGGATTCACAGCCCCAGAACAGAATGGACCTTGAAGGCTGGGTTTCCAGTGAAATTGCCTCACATTCGATACTCCTCCCCCGCTGGGCATTTCCTTTAGGTTTTCTTAAGGCTCTGCTTCAGGCTTTCTGTCTTCCTCTCTGGAAATCTCTGCTGCAGCATCTCCCCATTTCACTTTCAGCCTCTATGAACTCTCAGGGAGTCGCTGCATCTCCATTTCTTATCCTCTCAATCTTGCCTAGAAGGTCCTGAGTGCCCTGCTTTTCTAGTTGTTATTTTATTTAATCTTAGGGTCCCTGTTCTGTATTTTCTCTGATTTTCCAAAATTTACATCCCAGCTCTTCCTATGGCAATACTCATTAAGTCCAATAAAAGCTGACAGGTACTGGAGACAACTTAGGTATTTTAGTGATTCTGGCAACACATAGATTTTTTTTTAATTACTGGTAAATTAAAAAATTGACTGAATATTACAGTGATTATGAGAGCTTGTGAAGGGGTGGGGAAAAAGTGGATTGAATCAGTGCACACTATGTGCATGTACTGAAATCTTGTGTATTGAATTGCTACATACAATAGATACATGTTTATAAAAAATTTTTAAAAATAACCGGGGGTTGGGGTGTGTACCTCAGTTGTAGAGCATTTGCTGTAACATTCTCAAGGCCTCCTTGTGTTCCATCCCTGGCAATGCAAAAACAATATGGACATCAACCATTTAAAAAAAATTCTTGAGTGTCTACTGTGATTCAGGCAATGCTTTGGGTGCTGGAATAACAACTATGCCCTGTGCATACTGCTTTTCTCCTCCCAGATGGGCACAGCCCTCTTATCCTTGCTATACAATATTGATTCAGTCCACTCTGGACTGGTAAAAAATTGATACAGAGAGGAAAGAGTATTTGCTCTATGAGTAGCATAAAGAAAAACACAGGCCACATAAATGATAAAATATGTTCTGGCAATTCAATAATTATATACACAATATATAATTGTGTATAATTATATATTGTGTATATAAATATACACAATATACTGTGTATAATATCATTATACACAGTTGCAGAGTGAAAAACTTAGGTTAGAGAAAAGAACTGGGACCCTCTTTCTAGAGGAATTTCTTCTACACCCTGTTCAATGTTCTTTACAAAGCAACTTCCTTCCTTCCTCCAACCCACCATATCTCTTTGACCACATTCTATCTTATCTGTTTAGCATGTGGCCCTTCCTGGTGAGATTTGAATGTATCCTGTTCCTCGCTTCAGCCTTTTCAGTGATAACTCATCTCAGCCAAGGCCTGTCACCCAGGTATGTTTGAGAAAGGAGGACTGGGGAGGTTTTGCTTACCATTGGAGGAATGCTTAGGGCCTCTGAAAATAAGGTCTTGATTTGCCCAGCCTATGTAAATGGTAACATCTCTAGGATTTCATGTACCATCTCTGTCCTCATAGGATTAATCAAAGTCACCTGATCCCCTCCTACCTGAAAAACCGCAAGTCAGGTCTAAAAGTTGAGGGCTCAAACTTCACACTAGGAGGCTTTCCGTTCCTGATCATAGCAGGCACTATTCACTATTTCCGGGTGCCCAAGGAGTATTGGAGAGACCGTTTGCTGAAGATGAAGGCAGGTGGCTTCAACACCCTCATCACGTGAGTACTTTTTTTGAGTATTTATTTTAATTTAAGAACTTGTCATCTGAATTCGTAAAGATTGACCTTTTTAGTACTTTCTTTGTTGTTAGAATATCCAAGTCTCCTCTTGATATCCTGAAAATTTCTTGGACCTAGAATTCCAACTTAGAGGCAGTGGCAAGTACAAATGGCAGTAGCCCATGTTGTCCCTAACTATTAAAAAATATCATGTCTGGGTCTCAGGCATGGGTCTCATGCCTCCTCAGATAACTTCACTTGTCATTGGACTCATGGCCTGTAGTTTTAAATCCCAGGGTATGATACTGTTCCACAAAGTCTTGTCTTTGAAGATGGGATTCATTGAAAATCAGGTTTAGCAAGTAATCAATTAAAGAAAATATTTTTTGTTGTTTGTATGCATAATAGCTACCATTATGATTGGAGTGAAATGAAATCTTAGAGTGGTTTTGATTTGCATTTTTCTAATTGCTAATGATGATGAACATTTTTTTCATGTGTTTGTTGATTGATTGTACATCATCTTCTGAGAAGTTTCTATTCAGGTCCTTGGCCCATTTATTGATTGGGTTATTTATTTGTTTGTTTGTTTGTTTTTTTGATGTCTAGCTTTTTGAGTTCTTTATATACCCTAGTGATTAGTGCTCTATCTGATGTGTGAGGGGTAATGATTTGCTCCCAATATGTAGGTTCTCTATTCACCTCACAGATTGTTTCTTATGTTAAGAAGAAACTTTTAGTTTGAGTCCATTCCATTTATTGATTCTTGATTTTATTCTTGTGCCATAGGAGTCATATTAAGGAAGTTGGGGCCTAATACCACATGATGGAGATTAGGGCCTACTTTTTTCTTCTATAGATGCAGGGTCTCTGGTTGTATTCCTAAGTCCCTGATTTATTTTGAGCTGAGTTTTGTGCATGGTGAGAGATAGGGGTTTAATTTCAATTTGTTGCATATGGATTTCCAGTTTTCTCAGCACCATTTGTTGAAGAGGCTATCTCTTGAACATCCAATGCATGTTCTTGGCACCTTTGTCTAATATAAGAAAATTGTAATTTTGTGGGTTAGTCTCTGTGTCCTCTATTCTGTACCATTGGTTTACTAGCCTGTTTTGGTGCCAGTACCAAGTGTTGGCCAGGATGTGGGGAAAAAGGTTCACTCATACACTGCTGGTGGGATTGCAAATTGGTGCAGCCAAGATGGAAAGCAATATGGAGATTTATTGGAAAATTGAGAATGGAACCATTTGACCCAGCTATCCTTCTCCTCTGTCTATACCCAAAGAACTTAAAAATAGCATAATACAGTGACACAGCCACATCAATGTTTACAGCAGCACAATTTACAATAGCTAAATTGTGGAACCAACCTATATGCCCTTCAATAGATGAATGGATAAAAAAGTGGCATATATACATAATGGAATATTACTCAGAAATAAAAGAGAATAAAATCATGGCATTTGCAGGTAAATGGATGGAGTTAGAGAAGATAACGCTAAGTAAAGTTAGCTAATCCCAAAAAGACAAATGCTGAATGTTTTCTTTGATATAAGGAGGCTGATTCATAGTGGGATAGGGAGAAGGAGCATTGGAGGAATAGAACTCTAGATAGGGCAGAGGGGTGAGAGGGGAAGGGAGGGGGCATGGAGTAATTAATAATAGTTTAATGTGATGATCACTATTATCCAAAGTACATGTATGAAGACATGAATTGGTGTGAATATACTTTGTATACCACCAGAGATATGAAAAGTTGTGCTCTATATCTGTAATAAGAATTGTAACACATTCTGCTGATATATATAAATAAAATTTTAAAAAATAAAATAATTCTTTTATTTCTGTCAAAGCTTTGAAATTGCATGTGCAAACTATTTTGACAATCAGTTTTATTTGTGTATGCTTTTTCAGTGGTTTAGCTATTTTTAAAATACATGCTTAGAAGGAAAATATCTGGAGTTTAATTTGGAAAGTGTTAACAGATGATGTTTTAAAACACTTCCCTTCCAGATTGACATAATTCCTTTTACACATCATTTCTCCCTCATTATTTGTTTGCTTTTGTATAGTACATTTGTTACAATCTATGAACCTACATTGATACATCTTTACCACCTATATTTATATTAGGATTCTTTCTTTTTTAAAATATTTTTTAAGTTGTCAAATAACCTTTATTTTATTTATTTATATGTGGTTCCGAGAATTGAACCCAGTGCTTCATACATGCTAGGCAAGCGCTCTGCCACCAAGCCACAATCCCAGCCCCTTAGGATTCTTTCTTGACATTGTACCTTCTATGGGTTTTGACAAATGCATAAAGATGTATACCCAGCATTATAATATCACACGGAACAGTTTGCTGTCCTAAAAATCCTCTGTGTCCTACCCATTGATCCTTCCCTCCCTGTGAACCCTTGGCAACCACTGGTCTTTTTTTTTTTTTTTTTTTTAATGTCCCTATAGCTTTGCTGTTTCTGATGTCATGTGGTTGTAATCATATATTATGTAGTCTTTTCAGAATGGCTTTTTTAAAATTAGAAATATGCATTTGAAGTTCCTCCATGTCCTTTTATGGTTTGATACCCTATTTCTTTTTAGTCTTAATTAATTTCCATTGTTTGAGTTTACTAGTTTATTTATCTATTCTCTCCTTGAAGGACATCTTGGTTGCTTCTAAGTTTTATGGATAATATTGCACGCCAGTTTTTGTGTAGTTGTAAATCTTTAACTCATTTAGGTAAATACCAAAGATTATATTGGTATTGACTTTTTATACTAAAGAGTCATTGCCAGATCCAAGGTCATCTTGATTTTCTCCCGTTGTTTTGTAGAATTTTGTATTTTACTTTAGATTATGTTCTATTTTAAGTTAATTTTTGTGAAGAGTGTATAGTCTCAGTTTGTATTCTTTTGTCTTGTATATTAGATGCTCAGTTGTTGAAAAGACTATCCTTTTTTTTTTTTTTTTTGGATACTGGTACTGGGGATTGAACCCAGAGTGCTTTACTACTATACTGCATACTCAGTTCTTTTGTTTTTAATGAAGCAACAAATTTCTTTAATTTACAGTAAGCTCATATAAACTGATAAGAAAACCCAGTTCTTTTTATTTTTTTATTTTGAGACAGGTTCTCGCTGAGTTGCCAACACTGATTTCCAACTTGCGATCCTTCTGCCTCAACCTCCGTAGGTACTGAGATTTCAGGCTTGCACCACCATGCCAGTGTGGAAAAGATTATCTTTGCTGCATTAATCTATTTGTCTGTTCTTTTACTATAGCTTTGCAGTGAGTCTTGAAGTCATGTAGTGTCCATTTGATCATTTCTAATATGTGGGAAAGCAATTGACTTTCTAAGGCATATTAATTAGCCTTATATTCTGCAACTTTTCATATTATAGTTTCCAGAACTTTCAGTTCAATGACAAGAGGCGGTGGTGGGAGGGAAAATCCTTGCCTTGATCCTGATCTTAGTAGGAAAGCTCCATTTTTTTGCTATTTTCAGAAGAACTTTTAGCATTTGTTTCTTATAGTTTATTATTGATTCTTTTTGTTATACATGGTATTTGCACTTATAAGAAAGTTTCTAAGTGTAAATCATTGATTTCAGTTCATATTCTTTTCCAATATGTGTATTCAGTGCATTTCCCTCGTATGCACTGCTTTTTTATATAATACTACTTTAGATAGATTATATTTTTATTTCATTTACTTCAAAATAGTTTTTAATTTCTCTTGACACTACTTATTTGACCATGTGTTATTTAGAAATATGCTGTTTAATCTCCAAATATTTTGGGACACTCTAGTTTTTCTGTTACTGATTTCTTGTTTAATCTTACTACACCTTTAAGAGTATATTTTGTCCATCTATTCTTTTATATTTGTCAAGGTATTTTTTGTGACCAAGAATGTGATGTGTCTTATGAATGTTCCAGGTAAGCTTGAGAAGAATGTATTTTGTGCTGTTGATGGATAAAATATTCTACATATGTAATTCAGTCCATTTAATTGATATCATTTAATTAAACAATATCTTCATTGATTTTCTGTCAGCTGGATATGTCTAATACTGATGGAGGATATTTAAATATCCAAATATAATATTGGATATACCAATTTCTGTTTGCAATTCTAAATGCCTTATGTATTTTTATGCTCTGTAGGTATATATACATTAAGGAGTAAGGCTTTTTGGAGACTTGATTGCATTGTCATTTTCAGAAGAACTTTTAGCATTTGTTTCTTATAGTTTTTTATTGATTATTTTTGTTATACATGATAGTAGAATCCATTTTGATATAATTATAGAAGCATGAAACATATCATATTCTTTTTAGGACTCCATTTTTGTGGATATACATGATGGTGAGATTCACTGTGATGTAATTCATATATGTACATAGGAAAATTATTTCGAATTCATTCCACTGTCTTCCCTTTTCCTGTCGCCCTCTCTTCCTTTTATTCCCTTTTGTCTAATATACTGAACTTCTACCCACCTACCACTTATTATGGGTTAGCTTCCACATATCAGAGAAAACATTTTTCCTTTTTTTTTTTTTGGAATTGGCTTATTTCACTTAGCATGATGGTCTCCAGATCCATCCATTTACTGGCAAATGATATAAAGTCATTCTTCTTAATTCCTGAGTAATACTCCATTCTGTATATAGACCACATTTTCTTTATTTATTCATCTGCTGAAGAATAGCTGAGTTGGTTCCATCACTTAGCTATTATGAATCGTGCTGCTGTAAACATTGATGTGACTGCATCACTGTAGTATGCTGATTTTAAATTCTTTGGATATATACTGAGAAGTGAGATAGCTGGGTCAAATGAGGGTTCTATTTTTTGAGGAATCTCCATACTGCTTCCATAGTGATTGTAGTAATTTGCCATCCCACCAACTATATATACCTTTCCCCCCACATTCTCACTAACAGTTATTGTTACTTATATTCTTTTTTTGTTTTATTTGTTCTTTTTAGTT